TGAACATAACTCATGAAGGCAAGGATTATCTTCAATTCCCTCTACATTTACCAGTTCTCGGCAATAACAAATCAATTATAAGCACGATTAATGCATGTATCCTCGCTAAATTCATCGTCAGAAACCAATGTTTTCGATAAGAAAGTTTAAAATGTCACGAAAGTGAAAGTTACGCTTGGACGACCAATTAAGGTATGGACGCAATTCCGGTCACTCTCAAGGTGTGACTTGGAATGAGCGGAAGTTTTGAGAGGGATCACGCTTCAAGGAAACTGTAAAAACAGATTAATAACAAGTCGATTTCAACCAAGAACAAGCATATGAAATAGAGAAATTTAGAATAATAAAACAACACAAACTCTCACGGTCGCTTCTCTTTTAGCATAAGGTTAAAGATTAAAGAAGACACAAAGTGTTCTGATTTATTCAGTTAAAGCAGGGAGTATTACGTTGAATATTTTTGGTGTTCTTAAGATGCCTCGCCGACGGGATTGAGATCGTCAGGGTCAGGCATTGTGAACGAAGCTTAAAGCCACGTTTAAAGAAAATATCTCAACTCAAAACTCTCTCGATGGACTGTAAACATGGGTAGGAAACTATCAAGGGGATATTCAGTATTTCGACTTCCGTATTCTTGAGACCGAAGTGCAATTGTATTTATTTTCATTTTTCAATGACTTTTAAGCCTGGTTATGTGATAAGTAATAAAACTCTATAAATGAACAGGTCCCATTCGGGTTATATCGTAAGGCGATAAACTAGTTAATGGATTTCAAAGAGCATATTTTGTTGGCATGTTTTGCTACCTACAAATGAAACCAGCTTTGTAGAATAAAATGACTTTCTCACAAAGTATTTAGAGCATGACTGATTTTTCAGTTGTGTTTTTTTCAATCTCCTCGTTTCCTTTACCGACTAACTTTGATGAATTTTAACTTCCTGAGGAAACTTCGTTTTAGTTCTCTAGCTCTGATCACAGAACTAATGCACGGTATGTCTTGGGTATTTGCAGTGTTGCATGCTTAAGGAAGTATGAAATGAGGAAGTTGTGCAAATGTTCTCTGTGTAATTAGTTATATATAGCTTGACTATTATTTTTAATAGTACTACCATATGCGTACATAAACCCGAGACGGAAATGATAAAAAACATAACAAAACAAAACAAAAAATATTTGAGAGAAACCGCGTTGAGTGGCCAATTATTCAGACTCTTTCGATTCACCTTGGGACTTTCGTTGATCTTGTAGAGATACTGTACCATGTTTTTCAAATTTCGATGCCGAGGCAATTCTTTTGAGAGGGGGTCTTGCTAAGGGAGGGAGAGGTTAAGGCAGAGTGTGTAGCCACTCTTTCAACAAGAGGGTAATTTTTAGTCTGCAGACTAAGACTTCATCACCTTACTCCAGAACACTGATCTCTAGAACATTACCTAAATTGCAAGATAATTCCTGTTAGTCTGCCCACCATTTCAGACCCTGATTAAAATAAAGATGAGAAACAGAGAAAATAAGCCTAAAACGGCGCCAGAGTTTAAAGTTGCAAGTCTTAAGTCATTTTTCTTTGTTGACACATTGTATGTCTGTGTTAAGACGCACGCACACACGTACGTTCCTAATCTCCTCTCTTAGGTTAAACTGTCTCTTCCCCAGGAAAAGGTTCAAAAGTTAAAAACGTTTTAAAATTCTACCTTAAAAAAAAATGACAGCAAAACAAAATATATGATTACAGGAATACCTCTATTTGGTGTTCTGTTTCGTGGCAAAACTAAAACCACGCCAATGATGATCAACGCGATGATGAACAGTGCGGCCAAAAGAGCGACTATCCTTTGTTTTTATGTCACTAGGATCTTCAACTGTCTTCTGAGTTGTTGTTGACAGTCTGGGATCTACAAAAAGAGCTAAAATAAGTAATATCCACGACTGTGAGTTCAAGGTAATGAGGGGATTAATTCACGGTTATGTTAAGGACGGGTGGGGAAGCTCAGAAATTCTTTTAAAGGGCTTTTTCAAGGAACGCTGAGTTTTTTTTTTTTTTAAGTGCACTCATAATCAGTTATTGCTATTTTAAGGGATAGATCGTTTAATAAGTTCTTCCTCACTTCTTCTTCCTTTTATTTACAAACACCCTCCTCCCTCCTCCCTCCTCCCTCCTCCCTCCTCCCTCCTCCCTCCTCCCTCCTCCCTCCTCCCTCCTCCCCCTCGCTACCCTTTTAACTCCCCTCGCCACCCTCCTAAACTCCTGCCACCCTCCTCCCCCTTGAGTGCTCTGTTTAAACTGAGTCGCTCTGCAAGGTAACTTAAGGCGGGGTATGCAGTCAGCTACACAAGGGCTTTATGGCATGTGAAATATGTTTACACACTGTCACTGCTATATACAACCTGTAAGATGACTCATCTCGTCACTTGTTTTTTGATCCACTATGAGCGCGATACTTAATCTTCACTTGAATTACTTTTAATCTTCTCGTTGGAGTGTGAACGATTGCAGCTGACGAACTTAACCAATGTTGGCTAAGTTTCCATCATCGTGAAGTTCACGTAGATTAATTATTTGACAAGCAATGTTAATTGGCATTATCCCTTTGCAATAACCATGCGAAGCAGAGTGAGTAGCAAGTTTTATTTATTTATTTTGTTTGTTTGTTTCTTCAAGTGATCGGATCATTCCAATTAGACTTCGGAAAAAAAAAATTGTCGAATGAACACGTTCTCGACTTCCCAGCGCTCCAAAATATAAATAGTATCTTTTTCTTACTAAATTATTTAGTCCATGTGACACGATGGCCCATTTCCTTTTGTTGAGGGCCTGTTCACATCTGTGTCTACTTACTTCTCTGCGGGATTTCTGATTTGCTGTGTCACGTTTTAAACTGATTAAAGAAGTGCTTTGAAAAGGCTTCCCCTGACACGTACTGATTTTCTTAGTTTCCTATAATCCTTACCGATTGCCGGCGATAACTTGTGCGAAATGCGGTCTTTTTGTTTGTTTGTTTGTTTTTTTTAAGACAACGATTAAATTAGCCATGAAATGGAAACAAGGAACTAGGTTACGAGGTCAAGCAACAGGGAAAAAGGGTGTGTATACAGGCCGAAAACAATGAAGGGTGTTGTTTATTTGTCACAAAGAACGATGAAAGATCTGAGTCCGTCTTGGGAAATCGGCTGAGCTAAAAAGAACTTGCTAAACGGGCTGGACCATAGTGATTTTATACGGCTCGTATTCACATTCACATTTCCTTTTTTGTAACATGTTCGTTACAGATGAATAACATGTTTTTTTTATTATTCCACATTCGAGTGTGAAATTTCCCATGACCAAGAATCTTTCATAATTGGTTCCGGCATATCAATCGCTAAACCATTGATAATCGAATTATATTGGCTACTTTACCATACATAGAAAGAGTTGGACCGATCCTTCTTAACACGAGAACTCGATACTCTTTCGCTACCGACTGATACACGTTGACGCACATCTGTTTTTGGTCATTAACTTCAACATACAGTGTATGATGTAACGGGAAGTTTGTAGTTGTGACTATCTAATTAACAAATGAACTCGAGCTCCACGTTACCGTGCCTCTGTTTAGGAATAGATCACGTTTAACGACAAAATTTGGTAGGAAACAATAAGGTGGCTTACGAGGCGCAACCGAGTGGACATAACAGTCACACGTCTGTGCATGTTGTGACTAAGTGGAGTGCTCTCAGGTTGTCAAATCAATGTAGCTTCGCGCGGGTTTCAAACAACTACACATACTGGGAAGTTATGTTTTTTTTTTCAAATAAAACTCGTTGTATTCAAAAAGTGGAGTTTTCCTTTCCCTACATTTGTTTCCTTTTAAAGGAGGTATGGGTGAGATAATGGCTTTTTCGACTAACATAAAAAAAAATTTGGCCATTTTACGGCTAATGGTTAACTTCCTTCCTTATGATAAGATGAAAAATTTTTACAATGAAGGTTCTTTTATCGACCAACGTTTAAAATTTGCGAATTTTTGCGCTTAGCGACTATATTTCTAGGTGGTGCAAAGATTTCTATGAATGTTTCAATATTCCTTCGCCTATTTTGCAGGGCAGCAGTTGTCTTTTTTGAGTTTTCCCTCGAAATCTTGAGCGGGAAATTGGCGCACGGCCGGCGAAAATTGATCCCCTTACGCACGCTCGACGTTTGACTGCTGTGATCATTTTCTTTAGTAGGAACAATGTGTATCGCAAATACTCTAATCACGTGATTAAATCAAATTGTTCATTTATTTATCGTGTTTTTTTTATGCCACACCATACCGCGAGTATGGTGTGGCATAAAAAGTTGAAACGAGTTTAAACGAGTAATACGCTGACGCTGAAGTTTAATTAACGTCAACAGACCTTAGGAATTTATAACTTAAATATAAAAAGGAAAAAGAAGTTGAGGATATTTTCAAAGTTTTATACTTTACCAGACGATTATAATGTCTTAAATTCGTTTGATTTAAAGAATTTAAAGATAAAGATTTTCCTTTAGTACACCCGAGTGCAATACGCTAATTTTTAACTAATCGTTAGATAAACTTATCTCTTTTAAGTAATACTGTTTTTTTGTTTGTTTGTTTGTTTGTTTTGTTTTATTTTTCCGTTTCTTATGTGCCTTAAAGTAAATCATCCTGAGTATTCTGGTATAGAAAATTACATATTGTTGCAATATTTTACCTCAGTAAACGTTGGTAGTTAAACTAATCCTAACGGGAAACCTTTAATGGTGGTTAGGGAACATGCAAGACACTTACATGTAGACATATACTTTCATAGTTCTCTAACAGCAAGGATTTAATAGCACTATAGATAATGGATGATGGTCACCATCATTTCTACCAAAATAGTCAGTTATTTATAATGACAAGACAAATGATTATTGGTAATTGTTTCCACGACAATTTTATCATTTTTCTTAAAGGTTTGAGTTAATTTCTATGTTCTCCATGAAATTATTTTTAGGATTGGAAACGAACAGAGTTCACAGATGTTCGCCTTTCTCTTTTTCATCCAGATTCTGCTGGGATATCATCAGGCTTGCCGTCTTGGCTTGATCAACTTGGGCGTACACTGTTAGGGACTGTTCTTTGACAAGCTTTGCGCTACTTTCTCTGGAATAGACCAGATCAGCGTACGCATGACCATGGTATGGAGGGGGCTTCTAGATCATAAAAGTGAATGATATCTTATAAGTAATTCGTGAAACCAGCGACAAAGAATAACATTAGCAACATAGCATAGTAGCTAATGAGAAAAACAAAAAAAACAACAACAAAAAAGGTTTTGTCAGGATTTGTGAAATGTATTACCTGTGGCTGTTTCCTCTTCTTTTCTGTCTTGTCAACAGCTGCGTATAAATATTCAGTGCCCCCGCCAGGCTGAGGTGTCTTGCTCTCTACAGCCTTTGTGTTGTTTTCGAGCCCTGAATCACTTGGATGCGACGGACGACCAATACTACCGACACAGGACCCCCGGTTCACAGGTAACCCACTTGTTCCTTTTTGAGGGGGGTCTGATGATTTTTTGAGAATACTTGCTTCAGAACTGGCTCTGCCTTTTCTTTCTTTGTAAACAACGGCATAAACATAATCCTCTTTTTCTTCTTTTTTATTGCATGAAGTAGATGGCTGCTGTATTCCTTTTTCACCACTCACCAACACTGTGTTTTCTCGTGCTCTTTCCTGAATATCTGAAAATTCCTTGCTCACTGACTTTGACTTTCGATAAGTCTCATCTATGTCATCATACTCGCACTCTTTTTTGCAGTTGCTAACTGTCTCGTAGGTGGCCAGCCCAGACTCCGTTTGTGAAAGGGTTAAGTGTACAGTAAGCTCTGCAGAGCTCTCTATTTGTTGAACGAGGACGGGATCGATCGATTGCAGTTCAGAACTCGGGGGCACCTCATAGGTGCAAATGAGCTGATCGTCAACATGATCTGAAGGTGATCTGTGAGGCAAAATGATATTCTATCTTACTTAGCGGCATTTCTGTTATTTTTTGCACTTTTTTTTAAGGTAGCGTCGTATTCTACCTTCGAACGTAGATTTCGGGAGAGAAGTAACATATTTTTAAGGATGTAAGTCACATGTATACTCTAAAGGAAACATGGTGTATCAAATAAAAATAGCACTCAAATTTCCATCGAGAAAAGGTGATAATGGCTAGGTATAAATGAAGTTTAGAAGGAAAAAATCAATTGTCTAGATGATAAAAAATAATTGTTATTGTCATTTGATAAATACCACTTTAAAAATAGCCTTACAGATACATCTGCACAGTTTTTTTCTCTCATTTTAAGATTCAGAGCAGCTTAATCTCAAAGTCAAATTGAAAATGTTCTACCATCACTTCTGAGCGATCACATTTTAAAAAATGTTTCTCATGGACACCTAATTTCTTAGAAAATTTATTTACAGACCCCTTGGCCCATGTTTAAAATCTGGAGGAATAAACTTTGATGAGTTCATTAAAAACAAAAACAAAAAAATTTAAAAAATAACAAATAGATAAATAAATAGATGAAATAAACGAAGTATTAAAGATCAAGGTATACTACTGTATACAACTTGCCGTGATGTTGTTTTCATGATAAAATACGTCAATATCGTCGTTGCCGATGAAAAAATAAAAAATAAAAAAGGAAGAAGGTACACGTTAGTAACAAGCGAAAATAACATATAAAAAAACCCCCGATGTACAATCCACAGACCGCTTCCCTACCTAAGCAAAAAAAAGGGAGGGGACAGGTTCCTATTTTCAATTGTGAGTAAGATGTTTTGTTCCCTTTGCATACTTTTTACTACTTTCTCAGGAAGATTTTGCCAGATATGTTAATTATGTTTTCAATTTTTTACGCATGCACTCAGGGAATCAAAATCTTAACTTTTCGGTCTTCGAAAAAGTCAGAAGTACCATAAAATGCTTGTAGAAGAATTCACCTTAAACACAAAGGATCAAGGTACAGTCAAAATAACATTTGAAGAAAACCGAATTTTGTCACTTTTGAAAGCTGAAATTGAAGGGGGGCGGGTAGTGTATGAATGATGAACGAGTGTAATAAGGATGCATTCCGTCATAAAAAACGCCGTTTGATGAAAGAACTAGCCTTGTGAACAAGCTGAAAGCTTCACATCAACTAAGAAGTGTATACCAGACAAGGAAATGACTTCCACTTTGTACTTGAATATTTAATCAGCTCATCATATTTCGAAAAAAAAAAAAGATAATCAAATAGGCAAGCGATGCAAGAAACTTGCCTTGGTTCTTATGACCTTGGTGTCGCCGAAAAAATAATATTCCGAATACGACAGCAATTGCCAAAATGGCAATGGCCAGAAGCACTATGACGATCAACACCATGTTTAACTCGCCGGTTGAGACATTTTGTGGAGAGGATTCACTAACGGTATTCTCAAGCGTAGTCCCTGAACAAGGAAAAAAAAAAGTAAAATATTTATCTAGTTGTTTTTTTAAGAAGCAAAGGCTGATTGAACCGAAAACGGTTCTAATGGACACTAAAACGATAAAAAGGGCAGATAAAGTAAGTTAATAACTCACTGAAATATGATGTTGCTTTTAACGAACTGTGATCGATCATTGGGATATTAAAGGTTAAAATTTTCTATAAACTCATGAGTTACATTTCTACTCCTCTCAGCCCGAAACCTTTTTATTAAGATCTTCAGCTTTCTTAGTTTCGTCATTTGCTAAAATCGATCTCCTTTGTTTCCCTAGTTAACTCGCGGAAAAAGTTGTTAAACTGAGCATAAGGTCATACTAAAATTTATTGTTGATTTATATCAAAGGTTTTGGAGAATAAGGAGATTTCATTCATGATTTCATTCTCATCATTTCATTTCATCTTCCTTCACCTAACACTTTGGCAATCAAATGAAATGTTACATGGATCAAGATATGCTTAAAACCAGCTAGAAGGATACAGACGTCCACAATATAGACATAGACGAAGTCAATATAGTTACATTGTACCTTGTGTTGAGAGATTTGCATTTGTTGGTTGGGTGCAGAGTCTTGCCATCTTTGTTGTTGAGTCTTTAAAACGAGTAGTTTCTGGTGTTTGTGGCCTCCGAGTCGATCCTCACGCAAAGCAAAAGAGAAAATAAATTGTAGAAATCGCTACATTCGGAACTACCCACCAACCTATTAAATACCTCAATCTATTTTATTTATATGCTCCCAAAACACCGATAAATTGAACCCAGATTGTTTGACTTCATCTCTTTACCTAACGCTGTACGAATTGACTTCCCTTGTTTCGTTTTCATCAAGGTTGTATATGAAACCTTACACGAAAAAAGATCATAGAGTTCTGTCACTTGCTGGAACGGATTTTTAGGTAACAGGTGAAACCTCTTACGATTACATTATTCGCTAGTCTTTGAACCCTCTCATTCAATTCAGACTTAAATCTTACGTAGTCCTAAAAGTGAATTATTTTAATTCTCCAGTGTCACTGCGTATTTGCACCACGAGACTTCAATTATAGTTGATTACGTCAAAGCGGCTATACGTGCGTCGCTGTTTGATTGATTATTCGCCCTTAGCGCTCTCTAAATTATTTGCTAAAGTCAGAAACAAATCATCCCATTTTCAGAGTTTCTTGTAACGTATTCGTTTCATCATTCCAAAGATTTTTAATTGATGCCGATATATACATACGAAAAGGCAAGGAGAGTGTTACTGCTTTCACAAGGAAAAGTCACTCTTTGGATTTTGTTGGTTTTTAGTGTCTTTGGATTATCTGAAGCTTATGTAACCTGTGCTTTAGGGAAAGAAATGGTAATTCTGCCTTTTTTGGAAATCAACACCATCAAGAGACAAAAAAACAAAAACAAAAACAAATTCACCTTAGTCAGGGCGATATATGCACTTTAAATTCCCTTTTGAGGCTTTTGGCACAGCAAAGGAATTCGGCAAATGTGTTGATAAACTTGTGGCCATCAAATTCAAAAGGTGAAATTATACATTTTGGGCATTTATATTTCGTTTCCTGCTGAGATAAACTCAGCTGCTATGACGGCGCATTTAATGATCCCGCTTGTACTACGATGAGGATACAATTACGCAAGCGGATTCTTCCCAACTTGAGTTAGGTATTAAAATATTCAAATTACCAAAGAGCTCTTTTGAATTTAGGACTTGAAAGAAAAAACTGTACTGAACAGCGTCCGGTGTTTCACAGCGCTGTGTATTTACAGTCGTCCTTTTGTAAGCTTTGTGGATTTTTCAACCTACCTTCTCCACCGGTAGGCCTCTCACATATATATCCTGCTCGTTTCAATCCTGTGTCACATGGAACATTGTTATAACGACCAGGGCCTCCGTGCGTCTTGTAAATTTGTATGCAATTCTCCTTGTCAATGTTGTTAGGTTCACCTGGCGCCCAAGGCCACGCTCCCTTGATTGTCGCATTTACCGTGCTATTATCACTTATCCATCTCCACTCTCCGGACGATATATCTTTCTTAAGCCCGATGGAGTATTCCTTTGTTTCAAATTTCTGGATAGTTTGGTTTAAAAAGCTCCATTCCCCATAACTTTCGATGGAAACAAGATCATATCCAGCCCTCTTGCACAGATCTCTGCTTCTGGACCAGGAGTACCAATTTTTCGAATTTTCCCGGCAGAATGTGTAACTTGAACCGTTGTACAAATTTATGCAATTACTGCTGTCGTCTGCATGTAAATAAAAATGAAAAAAATTGCTCACCTTTGCAAGCTAATTCTAAACATAGTGCTAAGCAAAAGTTTCTATAACCTTTGGTTTGAATTTCCGCTCAACACATTTATTTTTCCCATCTTAGCATCCACCGTATTTGTGATAATTCATTTGTTACTTCGCGTCCGAAAGAAATGCAAGACCAAATGATAAGCCATGAGCAGGAAAAGGAAAAGTTGGAGTGTATACATGAGATACGCCCATCTATCCGAATCGTTTCATTTATTTCCTTGTATATTTACAAGATGTCAAAAAATTGTGGACAACTTTCCAAATTACCCTAAAATAAAGTATCCTTATCAGTTAAAAGGGAAGGGGATCAGATAGAAACGATTAAGAATTGAAAGGTGAAACATCAAGCTTCAGCCATACACACACTCTCCTAACCTATATAGCTCTTGATCACACGCGCGTTTCGAATTAGAACAAAGATGATCGGAAATTAGCAAGGTTTTTTCATTCTATCAGACAAATCTTTCTCGTGGCATGCTCAAATATCACCGACAAACTTTCAGCGAATCGCTTCAGTAATACTGGTATGGCAGATGTCTTCGTCTAAGTTGCACTCGGGCGTGGTTTTCATCTCAAAAAAGAAAGAAACATGTACGTGTCTTATGCGGTTAACTAAACATAGCAGAGCGCAATATTTCTTTGACCGAGTAAATTTGTTCGTCACCCGTTAAATTGCATTCGCATGGTGTAGTTCATTCAGCCAAACTGGCACGGACGTCGGAGCAATTTACAACTACATTCGTATTATACAAATACTTAAATAAAGTTTGTGAAGCGCATTTTGATTCATTTCGAAAGAACTGATACCTTCATTTCAGTGTATTGATCTTTCAAAAATAATATTACCTGTTTTCCTTTCATGAAATCTCGTACTTAAATGACCCAAACAGTCTCCACCGCAACGAGAAATGTTAAGAGAAGTCCCGGGCAGAAAATTCAGACGTGATTCAACCTATACGTAAGACAATTATTATGCTGCCGATACGCTCAAGGTAGTTGAGGAAAAAAATAAATAAAAGAAAAGAAAATTGTCTTTTTGTAGAATGAATCATCAGCTGTCACGAGTTCATCAGAGTAGAAATTCTGCCAACGTTCCTTATTTTGAGGAAGACTGATCCAAATATTATTATGATAATCATTGTCATATTAGCAGTTATGTGTCAAATACAGAGAAGGAACAAAAGCCTTTCGGATTAAATGATTACGCGACAATTTCTAACGCCTTTCCAAACGAATCGCCATGAAACTGAATGGGATGCCGGAACTCATAGTCACTGCGTGGGCGTCCATGTGTAAAATGGTCGAAGAATGGCCCCGCCCCCAAACGGTCTATAGAATAGAATCTTCCTTCCAGTTGTGAGAAAGAAAGAATTTGTTTTTAGCCCTTCAAGCCCTTACGCGTGCAAAAATGTCCATTAAAATCCTTAAAATATCGCTCCGAATTTTTTTTATTCTTCTAGATTCGAACTCCACCCAATAGGCGAGTTTACTGTATTTTGAATTGTTTTAGAGCTTGATTTATAGCAATAGATCTTCTAGGCACCGGGTTATCGCATCCAACTGGAATCGCGTGTTTTGCTAAATCTGTGTAGTTAAAAGATTGACGTCCCGGTTTTTCTTGGTTTTCACCAGGGAAATCGCTTCAAAATAGGTAAATGTGTATGCACGTGGGTTATTGAGCTCTTCCCTGAATGGCTAGTCTAACTGCACAGGCATTTAGCGCGCAGAATTTTTCTTATTAGCACTATTCATTAGAACCTCATTTTTTCATGGTAAATTCAAACGATAGAATTAAAACAGAAGCAAGTATTGATTACGATATGGATGATTGGGAATTCTGAATGCGTGCGATTAGTGGCCGATCGACTTAACATTACAAATCGATTTTATTTCGTGTTTATCGCAGAATTTGTGGATCGATTGCCTAGTTGTTTGATATTGATACCGCTGGGCAAAATGATTAATTTCGGATCCTTCGCCCAAAGGAACGCGTTGGATCAATGATCCAATGATCCGTCTTTAGATCACGCAGATCAGTGATCCGATGAATCCTTTTCCAGAGTGGATTTGATAGATCACTGATCTGAAAATGGATTTGCTCAAAAGAAACGCCACAGATCAGAAATCCTGATCCGGATTGTCCCAAAGGAATGCACCCTTAGTGAGCATCACTGCACGAACTAAGAAAATAAAAACTTGTATTTATCTCCCACGCGTTTCGTCTGACAATGGTAGAGTTCATCAAGGAGTTTTACAAGTAGGGTAAATAAGCTTGCTCATATACAAATTGTAATAAGTTGTCTCTTTACTATTGAAGCTAAAGGAAAGAATTCGCCAGGTGCGCCAACATTATTGTCTAATGCGTGACATTTTTCGGATGTTACATGTACGAGTACGTGATCCGCTTGAGGGTCACAGATTTAGTGTAAATGTTTGACCCCTCAACATATTAGATTCTCATCCATGCAATGTCTTTACTTTATAGAGGTCTTAAAACGCTTCATTTTATGGATTTGCCTTCTGTGGCAAGGAGGCTATAAGCGAATTTCTTGGCGTAATTGCTTTTGATTTCCAAATTGACGTTGTTGCAAACACAGTTTTTGGAGTCACGAAACAAAAAACTCATCGGGACCTAGTTTCATTTTTGATGGAAATAAATAGAAAATGAAAATACATTTTCTTGAGAAATAAAGTTATAGATAACAGGGATTCTTTGAAAAAAATAGTGATAGAAAAGGTTTCAGTTCTGGTCCATATTCACTTTTCAGAGCCTACTTTCAAATCTGTGGGAACGCGTTGAGGAAATTAAAAAAAACATACCTTTGTGATAATGCAAGAAAGAGAATAAAAATGCAAATAAAGAAAAAGGAGAAAACATAGGAACCCGATTTGAAGCGTGCAGATATCTTTTGAGCTAGACCTACACACTTAAGCCCGACACCATGCAAAGAAACTCGAAAGAGTGCTGTATACCAAGTGGCTCACACGTGCACGCAGGAAAGGCCATGGTAATCAGCGAAAATAATAGCAAATGCAGACGATATTTGCAGTCAAAATAAAGTAACAGAAGGATTAAGAACTTTCCAGAAGTGTTTTCATGAAAAAAAAGATAACAATTTTTACTTCTCTTAAAAGATCTCGCAGTCACGCTACAAATACCATTTCTGCGTGGAATTTCTTGATTGTGGAAAGCGGAAAAACATTGTCCAGTCTTATATTCTGAAAACATGGCGCAGTTAATGAGTTTTATAGGGCTATTGATATTTCCTTTCAAATGAGGAGGCAGAGTTTCCCGTCATCCCCGGTCTGGAAAAGCCGAAGTTGTGACACACGGGAACTTGTACGTCAACAAGCACGCGACATGTGACTTTAAAATCTCCTCTTCTGTTACAGTTTCGCCTACATGCATCTCTCTAAGCATACGTGAAATTTTCCATACCTACAAACGATCTCGGAAATATATATATCTCCAGTGTACATGTTTTATTACGTTCAGTTTGTATTTTACTAAGATGAATTGAAAGTATATTTATATACTTAGGTATAAATGTGCTTACCATCGGTGACTGGGTCCTCAGTAGCATTAGCAATACCAAATGCAAACAGTAAAAAAGAGCAAAGAACGGTCCTCATAATACCTCGTAGACTCCAATTTAGCGCAAATACGGTCGAAATGTTCAGTGAGGTTGAAATCGAAATTTTATATGGTGTTTAAGGAGCAGAGCTGACGGAAGTTTTTTGTTTCTTTGTTTGTTTCGTTTTATTTATTTATTTATTTTTTTTCGATGTGACAATACTTCCTAAATCTATTTTGAAGTACTATGCGCTTCATTTTGCTAAAATAAATACAGCGACACAAACAACAGCCGGTTTTTCGTTTGTTTTCTGTTAACAGAAAATAAACGAAAAACCGGCTTTAACCCTTTAACTCCCAAGATCTCATTTGTAATTCTCCTTACCGTGTGCCATACGATTCATATGATGTTAGTTTGGAGAATTTGGAATTGGATCAACTAACAATCCCCTAATTGATATTTTCTTTATTCTCATTACTTGTCTGCTTGATGTTGTACTGATAGTGTAAGGAGAATTCTGTCTACATCACTAGTGGGACTTAAAGGGTTAATCCACTGCTTCTACTGTTACAACCATAATCCGCCATAACGCGAAGTAATATAGCAGGTATACGTTAAGGTTAATAAACTTATTAAGTAGGGATAGTTTCTCTTCAAATTCCTCATAGGAGGAGTACATTACTGATCAGGGAAACTGAAATTTGGCCTCCATGGCGTCCATCATTTTGCGCTTTCAACATTACACTTAAAAAACCAAAAAAAAAAAAAAAAAAAAGAAAAGAAAGAATAAAAACAACTCCATTGGAGAGGGAAGAGACAGTTTAAATTAAGAAATGATTGAAATTTTATGCCTCGACGTACTGTTTTAGTGGAGCTGAAATTTTTTGCTAGTTCCGGCGTAGCATTTTGCACAAGCTCTTATCGGCAAACCATCTAAAAGAAACGATAATCTTTTTTTATTTATTTTTTTTTTCCTGAGGAAACAATGGAAAGGCTATGCTACTCAAATAATTCCCCTTAACCAGTTTCTTCTCTTCGTTTTTCGTTTTGTTTTTGTTTTGTTTTTTGTTTTTCCGTTTAAACCAAAGTTATCCGCCTGAATACGTTAAGGCTGAAATAACGAAGAATGAAACTTTATGAATTGTAAATAAAACAGCACAGGCATTGCTACCCCCGTTTTATTGGTTTCCTCAGCCATTTATTGAATTCGCTATGATTAACATTACTGTACGTTTAAAGAGCCCCATCTGAATCACGCGTGTATAAGTGTGGTTATATTTGTTAAGAAAACTGACTTCAAACTTCAATTAAAAGAAATCTACAACGACGTCCATTTTTAAGGAAAGCTGGGTAACTCACCGTTACGAGGCGTTTACATATCATGACCTTAACTATGGAAATTGCAAACTAGTATTTTGTCATGTCAAAAAAAAAAAAAAAAAAATGATGTTCACCTAATCGGAAAATGAGCTCTTGCTAATGAAAAAAGCGACATTATGCGAACGCTATCTAACATTTTCTGATAGGACAATCCAAAATCTCCCGTTGCTTTTCAGTCGGTGGTTAAAGTACTCCGTTCCATTATTCAGCGGTTTGTCTTTGTAGTTAATACCCGGAAAACGGGTTCCTGATGATAACGTTAACAGCGCGATTGAAAGTCGGCGAACAAATTTTTCAGTCAACTTGAATTCTTTTCCCGAATTAAGAAGGTTTTCCGCAGGGGATACATTTCATCAAACTGCGGCTACCTAAAGTTCAGAGAAAATTTTCTATCGGCAATGATATTGTAACCGCATATAACAACAGAAGAAGCGGGATGAAGCCGGTGTTTCGTTTGTTTTGTTTTACAAACTGAAGCGCGTGGTTTATTAAAATGGCATTTAGAAGTCTTGCCATATTGGAAACAAAAAATCTTCCGTCAACTCTGCTCCTTAAACACATTCTAAATTTTTGACTTCAATAGCAGTGAAGTATCTTAAATTACAGGAATAAGAGACGATTTCTCTTAATCATTGATGAATATTGTCTATTTCAGTTCAATATCACTCCGCACGATGATTGCTTCCATCGCTTGAACGCATTGTTCTACGAGGTAGCCCCCCCCCCCAAAAAAAAAAAAAAAAAAAAAATTAAATGGCAAGGAAACAAGGTCTGTTAGTAACCAAAGCTTTGAGAAAGTAGAAATTAAGATACGTGGTCAAGTTATGCATCGATAAAACTTTCAGGGTAGAGTTAGCATCTTCATAAAACTTAGTAGCATAGAAGATGTATTTGGCCATACATCCAAGATAATTAAACGTACAGCTGCAGCACGAATCGATCCTTTCGACTGACCATCTATCTGGGAGAGCAAATAAGCCGTCTTTGAAATCTCACTCGCGAGGCTTAAAACCCCTTAGCGTAATTACTGCAGGCTTGTAAGAAAACAACAATAGAAACACCAGCGTCTTTCCTTTTTTCGCCGTGCACCCAGAACGAAGAGATCCGCTTGCCGACCACCGTCACAGCATCTACCGGGTATGATCGACTTGAACTGAAATTGCGGTCAAGGACTTTCATTTTGCGCTGCCCCTTGCGAACAAAACACTGTATGTCAATACACTGTAGTATCTGCACTAAATGGCTCTTAATTAGTAGAAACGACATACTTTTGTTGATTAAATATTAGCCAGCTGGTGTGGGCGAGTTCTTGGTGTGACTTGGTATGGGTAATCACTTGAGTGCAGGGTAAGAGTCGTCTTTGTGCTTGTAACCATTCTGTCATGTCGCAAAATTAAATAAGATTTAGATGTGTTAATAATAAGTATGTTTATATTCCTTTCTTTTCTTTATCAATACCCTCATTAAATACAGTTTCATATATAAATTTCTGGCGCAAGAAAATATTTCTGTCTCGTTTGATGACTCAAACTAAACGTCCTCGAAATACAGTCACTCGTGTTCTCCTCTTTCCTTTCCATCATTAATTTGAATAAATCTCATGACTAATTCCACTTTATCTAATTTTATTTTTTTGGTAATCCTTGATATGTCACAATGCACACGACAGTGATATCAATATGGTTCGCAATACACTAAACTTACACCAGACATAACAGAGCTAAGTAGTAATATAAAACTAAAAACCCGAGGACTCCTCGTGTCACTCCAGTGACTTGTTCTGTACTTTTTCATAACGTAACAATGTTTCTTCCAAGGCGTCAAGCTCCTTGAGCTTAATAATGAATAACACATTTGTCAACTCAAGGAGGCTACAGAGCATAGAATGTATGTGACGCATCACTGTACTGGCATGCATTACATTATGATCTACTTGTCAGAGAATGATGTGTTTTACATGGACGTGTCCTGTTGTTCCAATTCTAGCGCTTCACTGAATTCGGATGATGAACAGGCTTTTTTAAAGGCTGTTATCGATCTAAATTCATTGAAAAATTTCCGGTGACTAAACGGTTGACAATTAAGGCAATATGCAGAATTTGTGATATTTTTTACATTTTCCAGACAGGAAGTCCGAAACTCGTGAAGAAGGCTGATACTTTTCCAATTCGAAAATTTTGGTATCCTCGCACATTGTTTAAAATAGATGGGAAGATTAAATACAAATACAAGTTCTTAAAGGGCATATAAACCCAAAAAACGTTCATTTTCTTTTCACATAGATGTTTAGTAAATATATCAAGTACACCAAAGGTACCATTCGTTTATTCTCAAAAGTCCATTTTCACTTTGTAAAAGCTCTTCCAAATTCGAAACATTCGTAAATGGCGCCATCTTTCCTGTGACGTCACGGGTGGACCCTCCAAAGTCTCGTTTTATAATCGCGTGAGGCACGAAGGAGTCTTTTCTACAGCCGTTGTTTGCTGGTCTCGTCATGATTTTTTTACTTACAGTTTACTTCAATATAATCAATTTTTACGTAATGGTGAAGCGTTGTGCCGTCCAGTTCTGTACTGATTCAAACAAAACTGGGCATACAATGCAAATATTTCCAAATGACGCAAATTTGGAGCGACAATTTGTGAAATTTGTTCAAGTGAAAATAGCCGATTTCGTCGAGCCGTTCGAACGTTCTGTTGTTTGTAGCAGTCATTTTTCTTCCTGGTGCTGTACCGACGATTCAGGCCTCACCAGAAGCAAATTATTCGGAAGACGAAAAAACAACCCATACAGTCGGCAGACGACGAGGATTCGGAAGTGGCTGACTGCACTTGACTGGTTCCGCTCCTACCTTACTAACCGCATACAAGTCGTCCTAATCGATGGGAGGAAATCGCAATCTCGTGAGCTCAAGTGTGGAGTACCTCAAGGCTCCCTTCTTGGGCCGATCCTCTACCTACTTTACACTGCTCCTCTTGCCGACATTTTACGTTTTCACGACATGCAATTTCATTTCTACGCCGATGATACTCAGTTGTACATTTCTTTTTCCGTTAACGATGATCTGGAATTAACCAGTAGCATTGCTAAAATCGAGAATTGCTTATCCGATCTAGATAAGTGGATGGCCTTAAATAAGCTGAAGCTAAACAAAGACAAAACTGAACTTCTCTACCTTTATTCAAAGCACAACCCTCAACAGTCTATACCTCCTCTTCGTTTTGGTTCTGATATAATACAGCCGTCTTCATCTTCCAGAAATATCGGCGTCGTTTTCGATAGTACTATGTCAATGCTCCCTCATGTCAAATCTGTCTGTAAATCTGCCTTCTATCATCTTCGGAACATTTCCCGTATAAGGAAATTACTATCCATTAAGACCACTGAGACTCTAGTCCACGCCTTTGTAACCTCCAAGTTGGATCACTGTAACTCTCTTTTATACGGTGTCCCCAAATACGTTATCCAAAAGCTCCAATCAGTGCAGAATGCAGCGGCTCGACTTATTACCAGCTCTCGTAAATTCGACCGCATCACCCCTGTTTTGTTCGACCTACACTGGCTTCCAATTTCTGAGCGAATTAAATTCAAAATAATTCTGCTCACCCATAAAGCTCTTCACCAGCAGTCTCCTGTCTACATTCAAGACCTAATACGCCGTTATTCAACTTCAAGAAC